CAGGTAGCACCACCATAGTGAATTCTCACGAAATACTTATCCGTCTGATGAATCCTCCAAGGACGACAATTGACTCAAGAGACTGCTTTACAGCCTTTCTCAGGCGTAAGTAATATGTCATTTACCTCCCAGCTGTCGCTGTATCGAATTTCTAACACTCAAGACCACAGACTCATTTCATGCGTCCTTGCCAAACAGCACTCCCGTCCTCTAGGTTAGCATGGAATTAGTTGCAGTTAGTAGTAGCTGAATAGGAGGCCTGCAATCGAGCGAGTTCCCAAGATCATCAACCATGTCTGTCTTAGATTCAGTCTAAGCTGCATTGAAGGTTTTTGTCGAATAAGTCTGCTGCGACATTTGAATAGCCGGCAGCAAGCACTTCTCAAAGTACAAAGGTGCTTTAGCCACTGCATGGGAGTATATTCACCCTCCATCCATCGGGGATTGCACCCAACGCTGATGGATTTTGCAGAGATGCTAACAAGTCTCGATGAAGGTGTGGGTTTGCTGACCTTATCCAACTTATCGTGAGAAATATGCAGCGTGTGAGTGATGAGAAAAAGAGAATCACAAATTCGTCTGCACTATTCACAAGAAACACCGCGTAGTAAGTTTATGCTTTGATCAAGACTGTGTTGCGCTCTCCACCGGAACATACGCATGCCAGAGAACATATTTTTAACAAAATATAACAATGTCGATCTTCCGAGCGTGGAGACCAAGAAACGTGGGAGGGCCCTCTCAAGAATTCGAATGCCATAATGTGGTCCCTATAGACGCGTAGGCAAAGGTATACAAGAAGTACACGATAAATTCTGCCTTTTGTGTGAATACTTCCAGAATACTTTTCCCATGGCTTTTTGGATTTAATGCTTCGTCTGAATTTTTCGCTTGGAAACATCCTCGTATTCCCGAAGATGTAGACTGGAAATAAAGGCTGGCCAGCTGTGTTCCTAAAGTATGGCCGACCGATGATGGCTAGTGCTTCGGAAGCGACCATCCCCCTCTCCCTTATTCTTGTTGGTGTCCCCTCCCTGTCGCTCCTGATAACTATGCTCTACCCGCGACTGGTCTAGGTTGAACTCGAAACCCCAACGGGACGAGTATCTTTCGTAACCCAGTCGGTGAATGGTCCTCCTGGGGTAGTTTGCCTTGAATTAGCTTTGTACATGAAGACAATTTTTGTTTGTGTGTGTGTGTGATGGCCCTGCTTCGCATACCTGCTGCAACGCTGAGCCTCCCGCGCGCACCAATAGCAGTCTGGTTCTAATTGCGATTGTCTAACCCGGCCAATCGTCTTCAAGGCTGACCCATGTGTGCTCTCGCTGTAACGCCTTCCCAATTAGTATTCGCCATGCCGCTCTCCCGGCTCCAGAATCGCCCTCCAGTCTGACTGCCACCTCATTCCAACTGGTACTCCAATCTTTCTGTACAGAATGCAGTACCCGCTCAACTGGCTTCCAACGCCTCCTAATCGGGACCGGGTCTGAAGGTCAATGTGACTGGGGTCTCCCAATGGCCTTGGCTTCCACGACATGTGGCAAGACTACGAGGATAACTCACATTTTGAACAGAGAGTGAGACCACAGCAGAAGAGGGAAGAGAGTGAGACCGTCTGCTGACCGCGAATTTAGTCAGGTTGTCTGTATAGACAATGAGTGCCGTTAGGTCACGCTCATCAGTCGTGAGTGCCTGTTGACCTAAAGAACGCCATTTGCTGAGAACTAGATGAGCGAGAGAGAACGGTGAATTGTACGCCGTTGGGTTTCTAACCAGAGAAGAGGAGGGAAGCATGAACAGCAAAAAGGCCTTAAGTCTGCCTTGATATTCGTGGTCAGCTATCTCTATCCTAGGTCGCAATTAGCTCTAGAGCCACCGTTTTTCTTCTGACCGATTCCACTGATAAAGTTCATTTGCATTGCTCAAACCCAAACTAGACTCGGGCTTTCATCCGCAGTGATTTCATTATCTGTTTAATCCACACCGTACAACTATTCCGATAGTGCGCGCAAACTGGCATTCCGTATGCTTATTATCACTGTCATTGCAGCTTTGGTATCAATCGATAAGGTAGCCTCCGCTGATTGGCTCTAGTTTGATTTTGCTGGATCTGTTTGCGTAGTCACGTTGTTTGATTGTACACACCATGGGATTGTGCGCGTGTCGAATTTTTCAGTTTGTGCCAGGTCTTCTGGTTGAGATTTCAGCCAGCTAGAATAGCACTGGGAAAGTGATTCTTATCAAAAGCCTCGGTTTCGAAATCTCTCTTCACCAAAATCTCTCTAATACCCTCGAAGACTGCAAACGCTTGAGCCTTTTCTACACTTCTTAAAGTCGATACCTTCGACGTTAGCAGGAAACAGCAATAGGGTTAAGCGAATTGTGAAAACAGTAACCACGGGGAACTTGAGGGATAATAGTTACTCGATAAAACTCCAACTCCGACATATTAGTATGCAAGGGCAGGTCGCTTTCTAATATGCGAAGGTAGCACAACTGGGTTTATCGAAAATGATGTTTCAAGCTCAAAATAACGACACATGACACAATAATAGCACCAACGTACACTCAGCAGCCACATGTAGAGTCCTTGGTTTCTAGGTGGACTTCCTACCAACTGTTCATTATGATGACTGTAAAGGCTTTTGTAAAAGGTCGAGGTAGTGGTGTCCAGCTAAGGCCAATTAACAGATACCGTTGAAGTGTTGCGGAGACACGGGGCGCTGACTATCCCACCGGCAGCCCAGGTACATCCTCACAAGAGAGCTGTTGTCGAAAAAACTCACTTTTCATCAGGAGATGAAGGCAGGCTATGTCACTAAAAATAGCTCCGAACACATGGGATCCGCATTTCAAAAAGCCCGCAATGCACAGCAAACAGGATTGGGAGGGGGTAGTTAACTTTCGTTATCCATTTAAGAAAGTGGCAAAAACGAAGCCGTTTGATGCTAGAGGCGCCAACACCGCTGGGAACTTAGGCAACCTGATTAAAATTGCCCCTAGGGGTTACCAGTAAACCTTAACATTTGGCCTTCTCATTTTATCGAATTCCAAAGCAACCCCTGTTGAGATATGCTAGAGGACCTTTCAATTGTGAAAACGAATAACTAATGCTGTCTGAAATATATGACAACAGTGGGAGCTCCGAAATTTTCCATCTGGAAGTCAGAACCTGGTTCACGAATTTTTGTTTTACGACACGGGTACTGTTATAACCGAAGACAGTCAAATCTGGTTATTTGGAGAGGGACGTAGACACAGACGACGTCGGCGCATTGTGTTCCCCGAATTGGCAGGCGCAGAGCCATGAGACAGTCGCCGATGCTCTGTAACGGGCAGGGCAGCCGTCCCGCGATGTCGCCCAGGGCGGCAGAGGCAATGCCAAGAATACGTCGCTCCAGAAAAAGATGTGCTCGAAACCCACCTTTTCCAGTTGACCCTGTTTGTAGAATCAGATCTCACTGAGAACAACGATGCCCATTTAGCGCGCCAGCGCTCGAGTGACTAGTTCTTTTTTGCGTTTTGGTCGTTTGGGAAAATTAACATTCTATGCTACTAGAATGATCAGAGTCACTTGAGCAGCCTGTGCGGTCTATCGGGGGGCTAGAGAAAAGAGACTTGGCAAAAGTAGCGAGGAGGCGGGTTTCGGGACGAAGTCGCGAAGATTGCAACACGGTCGCTGGAAAAGACCTTTATCCACCTGACGTTTCGGTTTCCCGCTCAAACCAACCATCAGAGACCACAGCAGTTAGTTCATGCACAAGGGTCTGCAGTATTTACGGGATGCAATCGCCATGCTACCGCATACATATGAAAATTCACCGCTCCCGCCTTCATCGGGGATTGTTGAATTAGGTATGATGGTCCTTCGATGGCCAGCATTCCAGTCTTTAATCTTTGAAATCTCCTCACGTGGGTTGGATGTTGGTGTGCTGGTTGCACGATCGTCTGACTCACTCATCCTGGCGTTAGGAATGGTATTAGCTTGTGCGCTCCCCGTGTGACAAATTACTCCGCCTAGGCAAAGTCTCAGCACTGACTATGGAAGGGGAAGGTCATTGCACTTGTTAATGGACTGGCTACCATTGAACCATCACTCATGCAGGTCGCGGCTACTGCGACTGTCACCTCTAGCGAGAAGTTTGACCTCGTCGAATTTAAATATGTGGCCGGATCTCGCCGAATAAACCACAGCTTGAGAACTGGCGTCATTTCTCCGGACTGTAGCGGTGTTCAACCCTCCTCTTTCGAAGCAGTCTCCGAGTTTCTCCCACCAGTTGCTTTTTCCGCAACTGTATCTGATCCTATAAGCAACTTCAACTGCCCTTTGTCATAGCAGTGGGTCCTGTGGTCTCATTATTTGACTCCTGATGGTCGCATTTAGTCTTTTTGCAATTCCAACCCCAAGCGGTGCGAGCAGGCAACAGACAACTCTCGAGACGGCCTTGACATACAGAAATGCTCGCCAACATTTGGGGTCCGTGCGATTTGGCCTTTCATGCCATTTGAGTATTTATCGGTTGACGACTGTTCAAGCTTGTCAGCTATGATAGGGCTCCGATAGTCTGTTTGTGTGTACTGCACACGACCTAGTGGTCAAGTCATGCGTCAGGATGTAGCAAGAGACAGGATTTTAACTTACTTGAGAGGTGTATGTTCTACACAGTTGGTGGGTGTCATGGAGTGGGCTTCTTTGGGGTCTAGGGATCTGTTATCAGAATGTGAGATTTGGTAATGGCGTTTGGACCATGTTGTTTTGCCGCAAATTCTCATGGAGGCATATGTGGCCGAGCAGCCCACGTGGTGACTGAATGTCCGTGGGAAGTATGTGTGTGCAATTCACGAGACTGCGATTGGTGTATGCCAGTGCTCCTGGCACTTATTCGACGGTCCCGATGCGATGATCTCGCAAGTGTGTGATGTGATGGTACAATCGCAGTGGGGACAGATTGGGATCCAGTCAGCATTGCTGGCTCAGTGGACAGTTATGGTAGTTGTAGTCAGGTTGTGGTGGTCGGCGACGCGTCGGGAAGGTTTTCAGGGGCAGTGAGGATGGTGGTCTTTGTGGCCGGGCTTGTGACGGCGTGCGACGGAATATCGAAGGTTTGCCCGCCAATTATGGTAGTCCTTGACGTCGTAAGGGTTGTGCTTGTGGTGATGGTGGTGGTAGAGGTGATGGTGCTAATGGTGATGGAGGGGGCGGAGGCGATTTCTGAGACAGGAGGATGAGGTGCTGCGTGGGCAATGCATAGGATCGGAAGATGTCCGACAAAAGCTATCCTTGTGCGGAATGTCTGCTGGCATCGCAGACGTTGTGGAGGGGGTTGGTTTTTGTAATTAATGGTCCGAGAGATCTTAAACATGCGAGTTGCCCATTTGCTTTTGGCAGCGACGAGCCGGTTGGCTTCGTAGGTTGTCGCTCCAGTCTTTACCGCCATTCTCCAGCCCAGCCGATCCTGGAGGAGGTTAGTCTGCGTGTTTGGGTGGATTAGTAGATTCTTGAGGGAAATTTTCGCTGGCTTTATAACGTTGCCTCTGTTCCCCTGTCAACGAACATCAGAGACGATGTCGCCTGAGAACAGCCGCATGAGTAGGCACTCGTCGTCTATCCTAACGACGTGGCCAGTCAATCGTTGTTTGATTTTTCTCAGCATGGTCTGGATGCTGAGGATTAGGGTACGTTCCAAAACTTCCGTTGGTGGGATTGCTTCCTGCCACCTCGGCTTCTGTATTCTTCTGAAGCGGCCGTGTTGGAGGTAGTTGAGCATCCACGCTTGGTACTCGTACACTTTCTGCCCCGTACCGCAGCGTTTTCAGCACGACGGCTCACTACTTCTTCAGTCTCGTGTTGATTTGGAGTCCGCAATGACTATGACATAGATACTGTGGCCGGCCGAAGGCCTGCCTGGCTTTGAAGTTCCTGTGAGCCACTTTGTTGTCGACCTTGACTTTCCTTAAAATTGTACTTCAGAGGTATACGAATTGGTTCACTGATTCAAGTTGGGTTCCTTTGAGGCTGGGGTGAGGCTCATTGTACTTCGTGTTGGATGCCTCTTGGTACATGACCACCATTTTCCGCATTTCGACGGCCAGTCCGGAGGCGAAAAGGTTCACACTCCGCCACTGATGAGCAATTTATCACGCGAGAACCCCATATGCAAACAATGCTTCTGTTGACAGTTTCGGTGAGCCAAAATGTATGTCAATCAGCACACTCTCTATCCAAAACTGAATATCGAAGGACATGTAATCGATTTATAATGTATAAACATCTGCGATGAGAGTGGGTGCAGCGAATTGTGATAAATGCGGGATCTGATCTCACGTGCATCTCATAAATATTGTGCTCGGTAATCATTACGTCATTTTGTAATAGCATTACCGACAAAAACAAGGGAGACTGGAATGGCCATTTCCGGCTTATTAGCCGTCGTCAGCCAGTCATACTCAAGCATGAGGCGTAGAACACCTGACGACTGCCAATATGTCGGAAATGACCATCTCAGTCAACTTTGTCTTTTTCGGCAAAGCCATTTTGCTTATGTCACGCACCGTTGTAGGACTGTTAATGAGGCTCGAGAGAGACGCATATGAACATGGAGACGGGTGAATTCCGTAGCGCGATTGATAAGCGCCCTTCTACCATTGCAGACTTGCGTTTTCGCCATCCTTGTATGTTACTGTTCCTGATGACAAGTTCTAAAGTGAGCCTAAAAAGTCAGGTGAATAAATTCCTGTCTTCCATTCCATTTTTTAAACGCAACCATTTCTGGTGTTGCTTTGTTAAATTGGGTCTCTGTGCTATTTTAAAATTCGGACTTTTTCTGTCAAATATTCTATGTTTTCATTCTCCCAATCCTAACTGAATTGCAGACTAATCAACAACAAAACGAATACCCCCCCTCCCCCCACGACCAGAGACATTAACAAATCAGATCTTATTAGATAGAGCAAATCTACCAAAACGTCGATCTAATGACTCTAGCCGTAAGGCTCCGTGAAATGCTATTTTCATTATAGCAATATAAATACCCAAACTGTAGGGCCCATATCTTGCATTATAATCTGCTAATAAACAATTCCAGCAACAACAGTGTCTCCGTTTTAATAACGTTTTACTCATCGTTCGCAGCAGACTCAAAGCCAAACGGCACAAGCGTTAACAAAGCTCTGCGGTGACGCAACATCTTTGTTAGACCCAATCAAACGACCATGCAAAGGCAGATAATTCAAGGCAAAATGCCATCTAGCACATGTTTACGTCCGGAGGGATGTTCAGCAAGTAGGATGGAAGGCGTCGCGTCCCAGCCCGAGAGGTCTTTTGCATTACTGTTTTAATTCACCTGATTAATTATGCTGCAGGTTTTTGTTGTACAGGTAGTGTGGGCAAGTTCCTTTCATAAACCACCCTGTAGAAACAGTAGTGGATTTAGCTACCTACTCGAATCCCGGCTGTTTAACTCCGCCGTTTGGCCCCATGTAGCCACCTTCGTAACACAGCGGATGCAATGTTAGTGTGGAGGCCTTAGCTCGGAACGGACAAGAGAAATTAATGAAAGTACAGTGTGGGGCGATAAGGCTGGCAAAAGTTTGAAAAGGTTGATTTTTCCCAGAAAACCTAGACTGACTATTCATACTCCCTGTTTTCGATAGTAAAGGAACGACCTTATCTTTGCTTATAAGATAATACGTGGCCCTGAGCGAGGACTACGTTTTGATCACGTTTTGGCTGCCCCTTCGCCTGATATTTGCGTGCCGCCAGTGAAACAATGTGTGAACATATCTGAGCATCTCTTTCTCTTTAGGTTCTTTACACGCCATGCAGTAAATCACTGCAGCAGTCTCCCAGAAACAGTTTTTAGGGCGATGCCATGGCAGTTCTTTGGAAAGCGCGTGGATGACGACATATGTCCCACTGAATCAGAATTAACGAAAAAATTTATGCCTCTCTTCCGCTTTCTTCTGATCCACAAAACTGTACTCATAGATAAGGTAAATGCTTTAATGCGGTAGTGTATAACAATACCAATGGGGATTTTATTGGTTAGCGCTCAGAGGGCGTTAACAGTGTGAGCCAAATGATAAGTTAAATGTCGAAAGTACTGCGTAATGTCAACTCTTTTGCTAATCCGTGTGTTTTGTACATGGTCAAGCCCTTCGTATGCCTCCAGAATGGTCTGCCCCTTCTATTGCTTCCTGGGCCATGTCCAAACGCTAACGGAAAACGCTATCGATCGCCGGCAAGGAAAGATTTTCGGATATTTTGATGGAAGATAACAGCTGTGCCACCGTAGGACATCATTTATGTATCAAGTGATTTACGGCCTCAGTATCCTTTAACCGGGACGCAACGCGGGTTGTAAGGGTAGATAATAAAGCTGTAGTCCGAGTGGAACGTGTCTAAGGAGTTTAGACTGACGATAGTTGAATGAGAACATCCCGTGGACATCAATATTACCCAAGTGAAGGCCAAGCAAATTCAGAATAAGATTGCTGGTGCCTGAGGTACTCTGGATGACAAACTCGACACGGAACTTTTTCCCAATCTCCCAGCAGGAAAAGCGAATTCACTGCCAGCAAGGGCTAGTTTGATAAATTTAAAAAAGGCGCGACTTAAATATCGTTGATCTGCATGGAGAATTCGTCTCCGCAGAAGAAGAGGCGGCCGAAAATTATATCACAGATACGCTCAAGACGATCAATGAGGAAAGCTAACCCTGGCCTGAACAAGTAGATGAGACCGCACTATTTTGGAAGAAGATGCTGTCTCATGCGTAATTTTAATTAATCTTGTATACGATTGCACAGAATATAAAGGCCTAAAGTTATATAACCGTGTGATAAATGCTTATATGAATGCGGGGCGGTTTGCAAGGGCTTAAAATATACAAATATCACCATTTAATATGTGGTTTTTATTCTGCAGGTCTTTTATTCTCCCGGATGAGCAACCGATGAGTTTGCTTCCCTTTCATCTTATATTTAAACTGACTATCTGAAGAAGTCGTCCCCGTGGGAGTAAAGGATGGCAAGAGTGGTAAAGATGAGCAAATACCAACCACAATCCAGGTTGCTCTCAGTCATGATGAGTTCTCCTGTTACTCTCGACTTAATGTGTTTGCGTGCCTTCCCTTAAATTTGAATAAGTAATTACTCCCTGACTTTCTGATTATTTTCGTGCTGCGTTCGCACTTCCGTCAATTTGTCGCAGTTTAAGTGTCATTTACCAAGTTTTTGAATCATTATTGCATTTCCACAATATACTTTTCCTTTGGGCTACGAATTCAAGCTCCTTTCGCAGTGTTTGCAATCGGTGCTTGTTGTCAACATCTTAACTGTCCTGCATCTAAGCACACTTTTCTCGACATCTCGTGACGACCATTCCTCGATGTAGGTTTCATATAGATGCAAATCACATCTGAGGAACAATGAAATATTCAGGTTTGAGTTGTTCCTCGGTATACTTTAGACCTTTGCTTCTGAACGACAGGGGCATTTGGCTATATGTAACATTCGCATGTCTGCTAACGGGCATTCTAATTAGTTGGTTAGTTTTGTTAGCTTAAACCATTAAGGGTAACATTACGTATCCAATGGTTACCGAGGGGAGACTAAAAGCGTGCATAGCACGTTTTGATAGTGCTGCTTAGCTCGACGGATCTGTCTTAGGATTTTCAGCCTGCACCTCGATTTGGTAATTGCCTTTCTAGTTGCTATCGCGATTTTTGGAATTAATTTGCTCTGGTTTTCAAAATGCATAGGTTTTTGTGCTGCATTTATGACTAAAATTTGAGTCAGAATGCTGATTTATGTTAATACTCTGGCTTAAACAATTTTAATTACTTTCGTGCGAACAACCGACTCTTGCCGTGGGAGACTTAGTTCTTTAGTCAAAATATGAGCAATGTGTTTTCGCGACTTCGAGCCCGAGTCCTGAGCGGCATTTCGTCTGAACAAATATGCCGACTGCGCAGTCGGCATATTTGTTCAACACTAGGAATTTGTCATTGAGAACACCTGGAACTCGCAGTATGGTTGCACAAAGTCATTAATTTATTTAACTAACTTGCCTGCGGACCGTGAGCTCTAGGCTGACTTTTGGACAACGGCAAAACTCAACCCAAACTGAATTACTCTCCAATACCGCAGGTCATGAATGTATTTTCACTTTATTGTCTAAACAGTGCCGAGAATTTGAAAACCCACAGCAAGGTGCGCACAACTGTCAGCCTCCGTCCATGTATATTTGGGGAATACCACATGTGCATACTGAAGAGACTACATCAGAAGTGATAATGTAGACTTTCAGAAATTTGCTACTTGGCCTAGCAATGCCAGACGATTTTTACTAATTCCGAAGGAAGTTAAACGATGTTGATCAAAGACGCACGCGTACCGTGCTCACTGCCAACCGTCTTGGTTCTGGGGACGACATAAC